GGTCATTATCTCATGGTTCCTTGGGTTCAAGCTCCATGTTGAGCTTTCTGCCGACAGCTCAGAGCCTGGAGCCTGCTTCAGATTCTGTATCTCCCTCTCTCCGCCCCTCCCCGCTCACACTCTGTCTCTCTCTCAAAAATAAAATAAAACCATTAAAAAAAAAAAATAGCTAAAACACATTTACCCTAAATGTTCTGCCAGCAAAGCAGTAGGTTGCCATGAAATTTCAAAAATTTGCCACTTGATACTATACCTTGATAGCTTCAATGGCATATTCCACTTGAAATAATCTTCCTTCAGGAGAAAAGGTATTCACACCCCTATAATTTAAAAAAGTATTAAAAATTATCAGAAAAAGTGTAGAGAAACAAAACTCAAGTTCCTTGACATCAAGCTCAAATAGCTACAAGATATGAATGTTGTCATTATTCTCCTTTGCCCACAATTTGTAGCAATTTTTTTTTTTTTTTTGGTACATTAACCTCTTTTCAAGAAAATGGAACTTATGGGGCGCCTGGGTGGCTCAGTGAGTTAAATGCCCAACTTCGGCTCAGGTCATGATCTCACAGTTCGTGGGTTTGAGCCCCACATCATGCTCTGCACTGACAGCTAGCTCAGAGCCTGGAGCCTGCTTCGGATTCTGTGTCTCCTCTCTCTCTGTCCCACCCCTGCTCACGCTCGCTCGCTCGCTCTCTCTCTCTCTCAGAAATAAATAAAAACATTAAAAAAAAGAAAGAAAGAAAAGAAAATGGAACTTTAATATATGGAACGCTTCTGGGCTACTTAATCCTGGAGACTTCAAACTGATCAAATGAGAGCAGGGGACTTTCTGCCTCAATTCTGAACCAATCTGCAATTTCCTCAGTAAATTCATGCCCCAGAACTACCTGGCAATTCCCAACATGCATTTATCCTCCCCTTCACGTTACTTGCATTTAATGTTAATATCATACTTTTTTTGTAAAAGTCAGTTACAGGGACATTTCTCTATTTGTGTGAATTAGTATTGCTATCTTAACAGCCTGAGATCTGGTTAGTTCCTAAAACCTAAGCTACATATTCATTCTACACATATTTGCACCAATTACACACTAGACTTTTTTTCTTTCTAAAATACTTCCTACATTTCCTCGTTCCATTCTGTTGGAAATCCCTATGGAAGAGAGGCATCAACCATAGTCTTAGCTATAAAAGCTTTCTGCACACAATGGACACTTCAAAAATACTTGAACAAATGAATGTAGTTATGATCCCTGGCTTATGGAGTTTGGATTTGATAACATGTAACATGATATATAATACAGCATTTTCAAATTTGTTTTACCAAAACTCTTTCTTCAAAAAGAAATTTATATATGCCCCCCAAATACAAAACAGGTAATAATGCAAGTTGACATTTACTGCATATCCACTACATGCCTGGCATTGTTATAAACCTTTAAATGATTTAATTCACTTAATCCTCAAAATAATCCTATGAAGTAGTATTTTAAGTTACATAGTATTTCACAGATGACAAAGTTGACACACAAAGAGGCTGGTAACATGCCCAAAGTTACTCAGCATATAAAAGGCAGAGGTGGAATTAGGATTTAGGCAATGTGACTTCGGAGACCTATCTTTTAACTATTCCACTATGTTGCCTCTGGGAATTACTTTGGGCTAAATCAGGAGTGAAAGTAGGATGTCACCAGGATCCTCTTCGCCCTAGAGGTAATATCCCAGAGGTTATTTAAAAAGTTCAGAACTCGGGGCGCCTGGGTGGCTTAGTCGGTTAAGCGTCCGACTTTCGCTTAGGTCATGATCTCACGGTTCGTGGGTTCGAGGCCCGCGTCGGGCTCTGTGCTGACTGCCAGCTCAGAGCCTGGAGCCTGTTTCAGTCTGTGGCTCCCTCTCTCTCTGACCCTCCCCTGCTCACGCTCTCTCTCTCTCTAGAAAAAAAAAAAAAAAAAAAAAAAAAACTTAAAAAAAAAATAAAAATAAAAAGTTCAGAACCCTAGGTACAATTTTTAAAAATCACTGAATTGGGGCGCCTGAGTGGCTCAGTCGGTTAAGCGTCCGACTACGACTCAGGTCATGATCTCGTGGTCCATGGGTTTGAGCCCTGCATCGGGCTCTGTGCTGACAGCTCAGAGCCTGGAGCCTGTTTCAGATTCTGTGTCTCCCTCTCTCTCTGCCCCTCCCCAGCTGGTGCTCTGTCTCTCTCGGTCTCAAAAATAAAAATGTTTAAAAAAATTTTTTTATTATATAAATAAATAAAAATCACTGATGTGAAAAGTCAGAGGACAGAAGACCTGGAATTAAGTTCTAGTTCTGCCACTTACTAGCTTTAATTCCCTCAAATGAAAAACAAAAAACAAAACTTATTCTGCCTCTATCACAAGATAATTAATATTGAATTGCACAGAGTATGAAAGAACTCTGTAAAGTACTATGTGCATACAGTATTTTCACCTTAATTCAGGCACTCCATGCTAGTGTAGTACTAATTACTACATCCTTACATGGGCTCTGCTCTTGGTACTCTTCTCAAACTTCATGGTTTCCTTGGGTTATTTCATTTACACCAAGCACCAACTACTCTCAAATCTCTATTACCAGTCTGACCTCTTCCCTGATTAAGTTAAATGCCTCCTGAGCATTTTCACTTGGATATCACATTAGCCTGAACACTCAACATTTTCCAATTTGAAATATCTCTTTAAATCCAACAGCCATTCTTGCAAATCAGTTCCCTCTCCTGCCATTCCTATTTCATTTATTTTAAAACACCTGCAATCTCTCAGTTCCCCGAGCTAGAAAAGTTCTGAATGATCTGACTCATTTCACCCATCTTCTCCTGCATTAACCATATGCCAAGTCACATCAATTCCTCCCACATGGTAACTTAACACTTTTCTTTCATCCTCAACGACCTCATTACCTTTCACCTAACTACTGTAAGCCTTCTAACTGGTATTGACTCACTCTTTCTTCTACTCCAGTCAAACAATCTCTGCAAAACACAATTGAGTAACTTCTTAAAATGAAAATTAATAGCACATAGTTGCGTAAATAGTAAGACCCAAACTCCTTCACCACAAAAAGCCATCCAATATTTAGTACCATCCTGTTTTTCCCATAGTTCATCACTCTCATACATGTATCAAATGTACCACACAGAAAGGAATGTTCCCAAACATTGCCCCTCCTTTGTTCATCCTATATTCTCTGCCTCCAACCTACTGGCTCTCAGTCCATATTTATTAAAATCTTCCTCTTTTTCAAGACTCAGTTTAAATACCAGCTCCTTTTTTAAAGTTTTCAATGACCCCCTAATATTGAATGCAATCTCTCTCACCAAATCTTCTATAGTACTTGATTTGAATTTCTTCAATGACATGAACCCACTTCTAACTCATACTAGTTATTTTTTAAATAGTGCTTTAAAAGACAGTCTCCCACATAGAGCAAGAATCTTGATTTTGTTCACTGCTGTATGGCCAGTGACTAGAACAATGCCTTGTACACACCAAGCATGCAAGTATATTAGCTAAGTGAATTTAAAAAGGCTGTATTTTAGGCATTCTTGGGAAGATACAAAAACGAACAACACACAGCACTCATTGAAGATGTTAAGTAAATGATCACAAAACCTACTAAAGGCTTTCTGATAAAGATAACAATGTCTATCATACACCCCCTAACTCAAAATTCTATCACCCATGGAGGATTCGTTTTAATGCTCTGGAAAAAAAGAATACTAACAGTCATTTTATAGAACAGTATGAAAGTTATCAGTTTTAAAACTTCACATACATATTCTAAGAGTCAAACTTTTGACAGGGTCCACATATACTTGACAAGAAATGCAGCTTCTAAGGACCTAGAAGAAAGAAAACATTTACTTTTCCTGGCTTAAAAAAAAGAAAAAAAAATCTTTGCAGCTCTGTGAAAATCTAACTGACCAAAATAGAAACTGAAAGTAACAATGTCTAGAGATTGTCTAAGTACAATTTAGTATTACTTAGCATTTCCAAGCCCTGAAAAGTACTTTTTTTTCTTTTAATAAATACAACAATCTCACAACTTCAATTTTAAAAACAGATCTGGCTTTAATAAACAAAAACTAATCTGCTTTAAGGTTCTCAAAAAGTCTGATGAAAAGCCTAGGTCTAGTGGAATCAGCATGAGAGGGAACTCTTGAAAATCACTCTAAATTCCAGTTCCTATAAAATCAGACTCCACACTCTTGGGCATAGCTGAGGATATGAAGAAACTATACATCCCAGCACGCCCGCCTACATCTCGGTCAGAGAAAAGGTTACTCTACTTCCACAACTAAGAAACGGAAAACGAGGTTGTTCCCCTGGAAGGAAGGGGGAGCTGAAATTATGAGAGCCATTAAAGAATCTCTAGTCGCGCTTTTTTTTTTTTCCAGGCTACACTTTCACATTTTTTAAAAAGGCAGTCATCCTCAGCACGAATGATGAACGGGGGAGGGGGTGACCCCTGGACTTCTCTGGGTTAAAGGTCGGAGTCCCAGCCCCTCTTGCCTTCGCCAAGCACAAAGCGGAGCTTCTCGCTTCTGCACCGAGCTGGGACCCAGCAGTGACTCAGCGGTAGCACCTGGCGCCGAGTCTAGCTTGGGGAATCACTGCAGGCGGCTAGGGAGGGCAAGAGATCCCCAGGCCGGGCCAGACTCGGGTTCCTGGGGCGCCCCATGACACGGCAGAACCCAGGCCGTGGTCGGGCCCCAGTCCTGCCCACCCACAACCCCAACCCCACTTTTCCCAGACGCACAGACCTGTCGTACTCAGACCGGGTGAGGAACATGGCGAGGGCAGCAGGGGGTGGCAGCGGCTACGCGGGGTTTCTAAGGGCCAACACGAGTCCACCAGCACCAACTCACCCACACCGGCACAAAATCGAGGCCCTGCTTCCAACTGCGCGTGCGCCGGCGACCCCTTCAGCCCGCCCGTCAGTGCCTGCTTCCTATTGGTTGGTTGTAGTTCCCGCCAAGGTGATTGGGCCGAAGTGCCACTCTGCCAGGCCGCGGTTGGTTCCAGGGACCTGCGGACTAGGGCCGACCTTCCGCTTTAAATCGTGGGTGGTTGCTAGGGGCGCTCCGAGCCCATGGCCTGTGGGGAGAGTTCTTCCCTTAGAGTAGGTGTGAGCCCGCCCCAAGACTGGCGGTTGGGAAAACTTGTACGGAGAATTGGGCTGTCCGGACCCTGATTTGATAAGCTCCTGGTACAAAAATCCCTGCCCGAGTGAGTTGGTCCTGTGTGGCTCCACGCCCTCCACCCGCCCCGCCTTTCGCGGGATTCCCCGCGCTTCCGGCTGTGGCGCAGGCTCCCAGGCGCCGCGTGGAGCGCCCCGCGCGCGACTCTCCGCGGCCGGTGACGGGGTGCGCCGCCTTGGCAGCGAGCGGGCGCCTTGGGCGAGTCCGTTTGCCTCAGCCCACCCTACCGTGGTGCGTCTCAGAAAGGTTGGTGGGCTTCAGTCAGTGGGTAAAGTCTCCAAGTTTCCTCCTGGTCAAGGTAATTTTATCAGCATTTCCTTCTCTTCCTTGCCCTCTGCGTCCTGTCGCCCCACACTTCCCAGTACAGGTCTTAGAGCTGGTAACGCCTTGGATCTGGGATTCGTCTTGCTCCCTGCTTTTTCTGTTATTCGTGAAGAACTGAGCTGACGGTGCCGCCTTTGTGTGCTTCATGCTACCCGCTTCCCTTCCCTACAGGTAGAAGGGCAACGTCACAGCTTCTTAGAAAGGGTGTAAATGAATTATTTGTTCAAGAAAGATAGGCACTCAAGAAGTCTTTTGATGTGCAGTGTATGACTGAAAGGGAAATGCCAGGGTTCTGTTTCCAGTTAATATGGGACCACTGGTCCAGTTTCAACGTCTTCATGCCCCCTGTGTCTCCAGTAAAGGTCATACTTGGCTCCAGGTTGGGTTTGTAAATGACCAAGGCATTTCAGTCGTTGGGGGGGGGGGGGGGGGGGGGGGGGGATGTAGAAATGTGCCTTTTGGGTATTGGGCTCTGTTTTTCCCCGGATTTATTTCCTGCCTTCATAGACTCAACAAGAATATCGTTGTGTGGTCCCTAGCCAGTTTGACACTTGTAACACTGAGGAGGCCTTCCAAGCAGCAGTAGGAATCTGTTAGACTGCTGAGAAAAGAACAGTATCCTCTAAGGTTTCTGGCCAACTATGGTGGCCTTTCTGTTGAAAAAGGGTAGTTAAATTCACTGTGACTGCCCTTTCAAAGTTCTTTTGAAATTAATATATGGTACCTACCTATATACCTACATAGGTAGTTACCTATAGATAGACCTATGTAGGTACTTGAGCATGCTAATATTTCCTGAACACTCAAGGGATGCAGGGTGCTCTGTAGCCCCTACTGATCTCTGATATGGCAGTGAATGTCTCACAAAATCACTTGAATGTGGAATCTCCTCTGGGTAAATGTATATACATCATAAATGAAGGGGAGCCGGTAGCCGGTGGTGGGCAATAAGGGAAATCTTGTTCTCTCCAAGAAAATGGATCATCATGGCATTAAAAATCCAGCACTTAGTGTAATTGCTTGCCCATAATCAATTCAATGAATGTTGAATTGAAATGAATCAATTCATTGAAACTTGAACCAAGTGTCCCTCTGAGAAAAATGATAAAGGAGCCAAAGAAGACAAAAAAGAAATGAACATAATAAAACGTGAGAGAATGAGCTACATTCAGAAACTGAGAAAGGTAGCAACATATCGGAGAGCTAAGCATGTTGGTCCTAGACCAAAATGGACTGCGGCAGAATAGTCCCTGGTGGACTGGAGATGCTACCCAAATAAAGAAACCAGTAAGAACTGATCCTCAAACTGAATTCTTTACATACCCGTAATTACCTAATCTGTAAATATTTCTGGTTGTACATGAACTAGAAATTATTACTTAAAAAAAAAAAAAAGACACTCAGAAGTGTGTATAACTGTCCCCATGACTTATGAAAAGAGATGTAGAAGAAATGGGTCAGGAATTGTATCAAAAACCAAAACCATAAAACAGAGCCCAGCGTACCTTGGTGGCAGCAAAAGCAGAGGACTGGCATCTGGGCAGCTGCTGTGATGCTATAGATACTAGCTTAAAGTAATTTTAAAAGCCTCATGGTATCTCTTTGAAAGAAATAAAATGAGAATTTAGCTATTTAAAAGCAAAGTAATTGATATACATACGACAGGATGTTATTTTGGCCTTAAAAAGGAATGAAATTCGGAACGCCTAGGTAGCTCAGTCGGTTAAGTGTCTGACTCAGGCTCAGGTCATGATCTCGTGACTCATGGGTTCGAGCCCCGTGTAGGGCTCTGTGCTCACAGCTCAGATCCTGGAGCCTGTTTCAGATTCTGTGTCTCCATCTCTTTCTGCCTCTCTCTCTCTCTCTTTCTCTACAGAGTTGTTGGTGATCTTCTCCCATGCTCAGTCTCAAGCTGTAGCATTTGGCAGAAGTCAGTGATTTTCTAGAACGTAGGAAGGTGCTCACAAATGGCACTAGTATTTTTTGTCACTTCAGAGCACCTGTGGACAGTCCTTTGCTTTTCCATACAAGAATAAGCTTAGGAATCCTTTGCTTCATTCTAGGTCAGGCTGTCTGCAGATATAGACCCTTTCCTGTGCTGCCTTATTGCCAGTTACATTAAATACAATATATGACAAGAGTTTATTATTCTGTACTGTAGTTGACATCCATGTGAGCATATACAATGGCCCTCATGCAGAAAAAAATAGGCAAGAAGAAAGAGATAATTATAGTGAAAGTTAAGAAGGAAATCATCGAGAAGTATGAATGAGGTATGTGAGTGGCTGAAATTGCAAGATTTTATAAGAAGTCTATGTCTGCATCTTGTCTACAGAGGAGGAGGAGGAAAAGGCAGAGGAAACCCTCACTTCAAATGAGATTAGGGAGATGTGTAAAATGTGGGAAACAGGCAAAATTCTGTAGAAAAGCACCACCCGTAAAAGGCTATAGCAGTGTGAGCAATGAATCTGTTTAATGACAATGCAATGTCACATTTCTGCAAAATCCACAAAAGGAGACAAAAACAAATGTCATTGGATAGGTTCCTTATTAAAGTTGCACAAAAAGAAAAAGATTCCATTGAGCCAATAGATACTAGTGATTCCGTTAGTGATGGTGAGAGTTTTCCCACACAATAATCCTCCTCTTTCTTGTCTCCCTCACACCAGCCACGAAGGTTTTCAAAAGTAAGGTTAGGGCCCCAGGTTGGCTCAGTACGTTAAGTGTCCGACTTCGGCTCAAGTCATGATCTTGTGGCTCGTGGGTTCTAGCCCTGCTTTGGGCTCTGTGCTGACAGTTCAGAGCCTAGAACATACTTCAGATTCTGTGACTCCTCTCTGTGCCCCTCCCCTGCTTGCTCTCTCTCTCTCTTTCTCAAAAATAAACATTAAAAAAATTTTTTTGAATGCACGTTAATTTGTTTTTCTTTATATTTTATATTTTCTTTATTATTTTGTAATCATTTTTTATGAATATATTTAGGTTGTAGAATGAATTATCTGAGTCTCCATTATTTCTTATGGGGAAATTCACTTTGATATGCAAGTACTTTGGATTACAAGAAAGTTTCCGGAACGAATTATGCTTACAAACCAAGGTTTTTCTGTACTTCTATAAGGCACGTAGAAGAGTCAAATTCATAGAGACAGAAAGTAGACAGTGGTTACCTGGGGCAGGGGAAGAAGGGGCCGGGGAATTACTGTTTAAGAGCCACAGAAATTCAGTGTGGGATGATGGTAATGTTCTGGGGGTGGATGGTGGTGATGTTTGCACAATAGCGTGAATGTACTTAACCCCACTGAACTGTACACCTAAGGATGGTAAATTTTATGTGTATTTTACCACAGTAAAAAAAAATGGTTTTTAAAAAAATTTTTTTTTAATGTTTATTTATTTTTGAGACAGAGAGACAGAGTGTGCGTGGGGGAGGGGCAGAGAGAGAAGGAGACACAGAATCTGAAACAGGCCTCAGGCTCTGAGCTGTCTGCACAGAGCCCGATGTAGGGCTCGAACCCACCAACCGTGAGATCATGACCTGAGCCGAAGTCGAACACTTAACCAACTGAGCCACCCAGACACCCCTGTGGTTTTTGTTTTGTTTTGTTTTATTTTTAAAGGAAAGTAGTTGAAATTTGAGTTCTTTGAGGACCAGTATTGTGTCTTATTCAGCCTAGTACCTCACATATAGTAGATGCTCTAGAATATTTGTTGAGTAAATAGACAATTCTTGACTGATTGCTATAAATACACTAGCTGTATAGAGATTAATGTATGTATCACTTGGAGAATTAAAGTAGAAAATTCAGTATTTCAAATTGCTACTCTTAAAATATAATTTAACACTAATATTTCTTTTTCTTTTATTTCCTTTGTGGAGTTTTTGTTTGATTGGTTGATTGCTTTGGGTTTTTAAGTAAACTTGATGAAAGTTTGTTAGTCACAATCTTTTTAGGTGAAATGCTGAGAGGTGAGAAGGACTGTTTCTTCCTTGAGAAATGCAGATCATTTAGACATTAGTGAAAGTTCTGCATTCACCCACTGAATGACAGCTCTCAGATATTTTGGTACTTTTTGCATATTTTTGCAAAGGAAGAAAAATGACCCCCTAATCAAAAGCTACTATAATCATTTTAAGAGATGAAACACAGAGGTCTTAACTATAAAGTATCTACATACTAGAAGCCTTGTCATTCCACTGGAAGGAAATGAAATAGTTTGGTGAAGTTAATTGCCTAACAAATACTGAAAATACTCAGGTTTGTTAGTAATTGTCCTGTATGATTACTTTGTGTTAGACATTCCTGGGTGAATGGCAGAAAGTATACTTACATGGAGAATTTCATAAGTGATTTCAAGTCAATCTATAATCTAGGTCCCTCTGTTCTTCCTAACTATCATGTTCCCCAAATCCATCTATCCCCTTTTATATCTAACAGCTACAATTTGCTATTTACATGAAGAGACAGTTTAGATTTGGCTGCTCTGCCTTCTAATTTTTATTTCAGTCATTTTGTAAGAATATCTTAAAATAAGCAAAGATTTTGAGCCAAGGGTATTGAGAGGTTTAACTAGCTTTGATTATTGCAAGTCCCCCAAGAAATAATATGGGGGGACTTGCAATTATGACTGAGCATGGCAGGAGCTTCATTGAGCAGTGAAACTCAATTGACTGAGCAATGCAGCTTCATTGTTGGAATATTTGGGACTCCTCTAACGGGTAGCTTTGGCTTGAGGATGACCCATCAATCTACCTGAAACCCTCGGAACTGTGCTACAGTCTGAGATACTGCCTACTCATCCTTTCTTTTCCCTCTCCTTCATAGATGTCTGATCTGCATCACAGTTTATAGATTTTCCCACCTTCTCCTGCTCCCTTCCCTTTTATCTTTCATATACATTTCCCCTAATAAGTCTTTTGCATGTTGTTATGGACTGGGTTGTGTTCTCCCCAAAATTCATATGTTGAAGCCCTAAGCCCCCAATAACTCAGAATGTGACTGTATTTGGATGTTAGGTCCTTTATAAAGGCAAATAAGCTGTTAGGACGAACCCTAATCCAATCTGACTAGTGTCCTTATAAGAAGAGGAACTTGCACACACAAACAGACACTGAAGGCATGTGTGCAGAGGAAGGGCATGTAAGGACACAGCAGGAAGGTGGCCATCCGCAATCCAAGGGAGATGCCTCAGAAGAAACCAATACTGTTGATGTCTTGATCTTGGACTTCTACACTCCAGAACTGTGAGAAATAAATGTCTGTTGTTTATGCTACCCAGTCCCTGGTACTGTATTTTATTATGATAGCCCTAGCCAATACTCACGTCAAATACCACGTTGGCAACCACACAGGGGGTCCAAAGTGACACAAGCGGAACCAGGAGAGGTCCAAAAACAAAAAACAAAAGCAAAACAAAGCTAGAAAATAAAATGACGTTTCAGGACTGGCTCACCCAGTCTGGTGGGCAAAAGACAGTATTATAGGGACATGGGTAGTTCCCAGCACAAGGTGGTGACCAGGTGCTAAAGGTTTGATCAGTGGTGGCCTAGGAAAACATCCCAGTGGAGAAGGAGAAGAATACAATTTCAGGCATTTGAAATGTATGAGGATTGGGGAGGGCAATGCCTACAAAGACAATGGAGTTGGCTGATTACTGTTAAGTTTCATAGACGCTCAGGAGGGATAACAAAAAAGCAAAGGTCCCCCTTGATTAATAGCCAAGTATGAGAGACAAGAGGATCTCTTTAATAACTTACAAAGAAGCTTTTATCCCCTATAGTGGAAGACCTGATGCAGTTAGTGCCACAAACTCGGGACATGACAGTTAGAAGCACAGAGCCCCAAAGACATTTAAATGTGTAGCCAAAGCTGGTCAGGGCCCTGGTTGAAAAATCCTGAAACTCTGAAACAAGGATGGGGCATCTGGATGCACAACTGTACAGAATCTTAGCTCTGCAGACCCTTGTGAACTTTCAAAGCTTGCAGAGATAGTCTACCTCTTCATAGTAAGAACTAGTACTTCTTTCATGCTCAAGGACACTGCAGAGCCACTCCTCTCCTGGCTGCTCTGATGACTGGAGTCATATCCTAGCATAACCCTGCTGAAAACATGCCTGACCTAATAAAGGAGGAAAGAGATCATATACAAAGGAGCTGTAAGAATTAGCATATACAAACAAGTCAGGAGAGTTTTGAGGTTGGTTGGTCATGGGGGCTGGAATTTTAGACTAGATAATCGAGAATTCATTGACTTAGCAGCACTTTCTTGAGTCAGGATTTAACAACATTCTGGCTGCAGAAACTAGATGGGTCCTGGAGAATGACTGTAGCCTATCATAGGTTTCAGCAAGTCACAGCCCCAGTAGCACCTGTTGTGCTTTATATAGTCTTATTGCTAGTGCAGATTAATAAGGCATCATGACATGATGTGTGGCCAGTGATTTGTTGAATGAATTATTTTCCATTTTGATTAGGAAAGAGCATGTGAGAGAGAGAACCATTTACAGTTTTGCCTCAAGGATAGATTAACCCTGCCATGTGTTGTAGTAAAGTCCAAAGAAATCTGAACTTGCCTGAACATCTCATAGAGTATCACATTGACCCATTGCAGCAATGATATTATGCTGGTCAGACTGTACAAGTAAAGGGTGGCTAGTATGCTGGAGGCATTGGTAAGACTAATGCCCCAGAGAGTAGAAGAAAACTGCTATAAAGATTCAAGGACTTGCCACTTCTTTGAAGTTTTCAGAGTGTATCATTATATCCTTCCAAAGCAAAAGTCAGAGTGTTGGATCTTGCAACCCTTATCACAAAGAAGAATGCACAGGGCTTGGTATGTCTCTTTATGTTCTGGAGCAACACACACCACACTTAGGAATACTGCTGCAGCCCATTTACCAGGTGATATTGAAGATTTCCATCTTTGGGGTCCAGAGCAAGTGAAGGGCTCTTTAGAAATCCAGGCTACAGTACAAACATCATTGCCACTTTGGCCATTTATTCCAGTAAAATCTTGAATTAGAGATGTCAGAGTGGGAAAAGAAGCAGTTAGAGCTTGTGATGGTTAATTTTATGTCAACTTGACTGGGCTATGGGGTAGTCAGGTATTTGGTCAAACATTATTCTGGTTGTGGCTGTGGGTGTGTTTCCAGATGAGATTAACATTGGTTGGTAGAATGAGTAAAGCAGTTTGCCATGCTAATGTAAGTGGGCCTCATTCAATTAATTGAAGACCTGAATAGAACAAAAAAATTGAGTAGAAGGGAACCTGCTTGATTGCATAGCTAGGATGTTGGTCTTTTCCAGCCTTTAGGCTTGGACTGAAACATCAGCTCTTCTTGGATCTTGAACCTGCCAACTTTCAGACAGGCAATTACGCCATTGGCTTTCCTTGTTCTCAGGCCTTTGGCTTCAGACTGGAACTACACATCAGCTCTCCTGGGTCTCCAGCTTGATGACTGCAGATCTTGGACTTCTTGGCCTCCATACTCATGTGAGTCAATTCTTTATAATAAATCAATAGCTATAGCTATATAATCTATATCTATACTTCTGCCTACATCTATATAACTATAGTGTTTCTGTTTCTCTGGCTAATACAGATCTTGACACCAGCAGTGGAATGCAGCTGTAACAAATAACTAAAAATGTGGAAGCAGCTTTGGAACTGGATAATGAGTGGAGTCAGAGGAATTTTAAAGTGCGTGCTAGAAATATGGACATAAAGGACAATTCTGGTGAGATGTCAGATGGAAATGAGGAAGATGTTACTAGAAACTGGAAGAAAAGTGACCCTTGTTATAAAGTGGCAAAGAACTTGGCTGAACTGTGTTCTACCGTTTTGTGCAAGGCAGAATTTGTGAGTGATGAAATTGGATATTTAGCTGAGGAGATTTCTAAGCAAAATATTGGAGGAGGGGCTTGGTTCCTCCTGATTGCTTATAGTAAAATGTGAAAGGAGAGAGATGAAGAAGGAATTGTTAAGCAAAAAGGAACCAGAACTTGATGATTTAGAAGTTTCTCAGCCTATCTATATTGAAAAACATGAGAAAGCATGTTCTAAAGAGAATACCAATGGCACAACTTGATTATCACTTGATAAAAGAGTTTATGGGATTATATGAGCAGAAACAGCCAATTTGAACTGAAGGGGATGAAGATGGGACCAAACAAAGGAAGGCTGTTGGGCTTATTGAATTTGACAAGACAGAATAATAGAACTATTAAGCTGCAAACATGCACTATTCTACAAGAAGAGGGGAAAATGATCCCAAAAGTGATTTAAGAGATCATCAGGGCCACTACACTACCTCAGTTTCAACAGCTTTAGGAGTGGGACTACCCAAAAGGACCTTGGGGGTGATGCTGCCACCTACTGGACCTGGAGGGCAGAGCACTGAACCAAGGAGGATTAATTAAAGCCTTAAAATCTCATTGACTTTCCCTTGCTAAATTTTGAACTTGTTTAAGACCATCACCCCTTTCTTCTCCCTTTTGGAATGAAAATGTCTATCCTATGACTATCCCACTATTGTATTTTGAAAGTATATAACTTGTCTAATTTCACAGATTCACAACTGGAGAGGAATTTTGCCTCAGGATGAATCATGCCTCCAGTCTCACTCTATCTGATTTAGATGATATTCAGATAAGACTTTAGAGTTGGTGCTGGAATGAATTAAGAGCTTTGGGGATTTGAGGATGAGATGAATGTATTCTGCATGCAATAATGACATGAATCTTAGGGGGCCATGGGTGGAATGTTATAGACTGAATGTGCCCTCCCCCCCAAATCATACATTGAAGCCCTAATCCCAAATATGACAAAGAGACACCAGAGAGCTTTATTTCTCTGCCCTGGAAGGACACAGTGAAGAGGTAGCTTGTCTGTAAGGAAGAGAGCTTTCACCAGATCCTGATCATGCTGGGATCTTGATCTCAGACTTCTGGCTTCCAGAACTGTGAGAAAATAAATTTCTGTTGTTTAAGCCACCCAGTATGGTATTTTGTCATGGCAGCCCAAGCTAAGACAGAGCTTATGGGAAGCCCCAGTGAAAACATCACAGTGCAGTCCCTAGGACCCTGGAGCAAGGCCGTGCCATCTGCAACTGAGTATTATACACATTTTAAGAACCAGCTACTAGTGAGAACCAGATAGATACTGAACCTTGGCAGAGACAGAATACTCAACCACAGGACATCAGGTAACCATGTGTCCAGAACCACTTGTTAGGGACTGAATTCTTTTGGTTCAGATGGATCCAGTAGCATCTTTGTATGATGGAAATGGTACATACAGGATGGAGCTCAAACACACCTGGAGCACTTGTAACCTGCATGACTAGGTAGCCCACATTCCCGTATAACCCACCACAGCTGCACCAACACTATGACCAGCTGAAGGAAGAAAGGTAAAGCCTAAGTTTGGTCTATGGATGAGTCAGCTTAGTATGTGGGTACAAATCAAAATTAGATAGTGCCTGCAGTATAGTTACATTCTTCAGAGTCTTTGAAAAACAGCAAAGGGAAAATCTTCCCAGTTGGTAGGGTTACAAGGATTATCCCTGATCATCTGCTTTTTGTACCAGGAGAAGCAGACTGAAGCAAGAATATATCTGTAGATTCTTAGGCGGGTGTTATTGGCCTGGCAGAAGACCTAGTAGGGGACCTGAAAGGAAAAGGACTAGAAGATCAATGACAAGGAGATCTTGGGTAGAGTCATGTGGATAAATATATAGGAGTGGGCATAAGTGTGAAGAGTTTTGTATCATATCCTGCATTCAGCAGGCAAGAGGCACCAAACAATCAAGTAGACAGAATGACTCATCTGCTTGTCATTACAGCCTTAATCAATGGCCATCTTGGAACCCGCATGATTGGGTTATAGGCACTGTTATGGATTATGTTTTATCCCTCTCTCAAATTCTTATGTTGAAGTTCTAACCCGCAGTACCTTAAATTGTGACCTTATTTGGAAATAGGGTTGTTGCAGATGTAATTAGTTAAGATGACATCATACTAGAGTATGATTCAATATGACTGGTGTTCTTATAAGCAGATAGCCATGTGAAGATAAAACAGGTCAGGGTGATGTAGCAGAAGCCAAAGAATGCCAAAGATTGCCAGCAAACCACCAGAAGCTAGAGGAGAAGCATGGGACAGATTTTCTTTCACAGCCCTCAAAAGGAACCAAGCCTACAGACACCTTGAGCTCAGACTTCTAGCTTTCAGAACTGTAAGATAATTATGTATCTGTTGTTTAAATCACCAAATGTGTGGTTCTTTGTTAAGGCAGCCCTAAGAACTAATACGGGGACATAAATGGAGTGGCCTTTGTGTCAGGGATGGAGACTACATACAGACTCAAAAAGCTTGGACTCCAAATTTCAAAGGCTAATGTAGCTACTGATACCTTAATGTCCAACCTGTCAGCACAGAGACTTCTGCTTAGTCCCCAGTACGCTACCATTACTCAAGGAGACCAACTGGATACTCGGTGACAAGTTGATTACATTGTGTCCCTTCCACCTTGAAAGAGTCAATGGTTCATTCTCACAGAGATAGATAGCTATTCTGGGTATGAGTTTTCCTTTCCACCACAGATCCTTAGCCAACATCACTATATTGTGGCTTATGGAATGCCTGATCGACAGACGTAGAATCCTGTGTAACATAGCATCTGACGAGGGCACCTGCTTCATGATAAAAGAGGTGTGGGAGTGGACCCATGACTATGGGATCCACTGGTCATACCATACCACTTAGAAAAAGCTAACCTCATAGAGAGCCAGAATGATATTCTAAAAGCACAGGTGAAAAGCCACTCAAGGATAACATTCTGAAAAGAATTGGAAGTTACAATTCAGGAGATCTTTATGACTCAAATAGGAAAAATACATGGATCCACTAACTAAGGAGTGGATGTAGGAATAGCTCCATTTACTTTTACTACCAATGACCCACTAGTGGATGCTGTGCTTCCCGTACCCACAAATCTGGGATTGATAGGGCTGAGGCTGGTGGTACTGGTCATCAAAGGGATTGCACTCCTATTAAGGGACACAGCAAGGGTCCCTTTGAACCAAGGGGTTCAAGTCAAAGTGACTGATGCACTTTGGACTCATTATTCCTGGGGCCAGTAGGCAAAAAAAGGAGTCACAGTCATGACAAGGATAATTGACCCTGATCAGTAGGAAAAGGTAGCACTGTTTGGTGGTTTTTTTGGGTTTTTTTGTTTGGTTTTTTTTTTGAGGGAGAGGGCGGAGGAGGTTGTTTTTTAACAAAATTCATGTGGTCCCCTTGGATATCTCCTGATACTCCCTTACCCCACTGTAACTGTGAAGATATGCAGCAACCATGACCTGAGAAAAGTATAGTTACCAAAATCCCAGACCAGGAATAAAGCTTTGGATTATACCACCACAGAAGCCACCAAGACCTGCTAAGATAATTGCAAGTAAGGAGAATTTACATTGGATAGTGGAAAAGGGAGAGGATGAGTATTACTTGTGGCCTCTAGATCAATTGCTGTAGTCCATCCCACTAATCTTCCTTTTCTTTTTTTTATAAACTTTTTTCTAATGTTTTATTTATTTCTAGGAGAGAGAGAGAGACAGCGTGAGCAGGGGAGGGTCAGAGAGAGAGGGAGTTACAGACTCTTAAACAGGCTCCAGGCTCTGTGCTGGCAGTCAGCACAGAGCCCGACGCGGGGCTCGAACCCATGAACCGCGAGATCATGACCTAAGTGAAAGTCGGACGCTTAACCGACTGAGCCACCCAGGCGCCCCATCCCACTAATCTTCCTTTTCTAAGTTCCTTTTCAGGAAGAGAGGCCTCTGGAACCATGGAAGAGCTTCTCCCCAAACCTGCATGAAGAAATAGATCTGTGGGACAAAGAAGTCTGAAAATGGGTCACTGGATTCCTTTCTGTGGAACATAGTTAATCAATGTTCCCAATTACTAAGTTGGATCCACCAGTATGGTCACAGCTGAGGCTGTGCTTCTCACAACCTATTCCCCTATTCCTAGCTAATGACTGAGCATCTAGGGTAATAAATCAGGCTCGTTTCTTTGAGACTTGGGATTCCACTAATGGGCCACTTTGGGTAGAGAACTACCCATGGGATTCACAGCTCACAGGGAAATATAGAGAAAGAAACAGCAAGTTTATGCAAAGAAAGTTAAAAAAAAAATAAAGGAAATAAAGATAAAATCAGAAATCAATGAAATAAAAAGCAGATATATAAGAACCAAAACTTATTAATCAATAGTCAATAAAGCCAAATTTATAATCTTCAAAAGAGCTAAAAATAATTAATCAACCCCTAGCAAGATTAATCAAGGAAGAGTACAAGAAAGTATATTACCAATATCAGCAATAATAAAGGGGACATCAGTATAGTTCCTATAGACATTGAAAATATAAGAAGATATTAAAAACAACTTTTTAGCAATAAATTTGACAATATAAATGAAATGGAAATTTTTATTGAGAAATAAACTTACTAAGATTAAAACAATAATAAATAGAAAATTCTGTATTTTATATTTTAAAGAAACTGAATTCATTTATAATCTTTCTACAAAGAAAACTCCAGATGGCTTCACTGGTGAATTCTTTCCAACATGTATATTTCTTTTAGAGTTATAAAATGCATATTGACACTTTCTAATACTTAAATATTTCATATTCTATTTGTTGGTTAACTTCCCTCTGTTCCATGCATCATTTATTTAGCACTTACTATGCATTATGTTAAGAGTTATAGATAAAAAGATGAATAAAGTTTTTGGCAGAGGGAACTTTCAGGATGATGGAAAAAGAAGACATATAATGTAAATGCAGTGAAATAAGTGCTAATAAAGATTCGCATAAAGTACTATGAGAGAAGGGGATGAATCCAGGGAAGGGAAGGAAGGCTTTCCAAGCATGAGAGATAAGACAATGTGTCATGTGCTATGGGCATAACTGGAAAATAGAGGACATTCCTTCACAGTCTTCCTTAGAGGATCTTCTCCCCTTATTCCTTTAAATTTTTTAAATGAATTTTCTGTTTATTTATTTTGAGATAGTGTGAGCAGGGGAGGGTCTGGGAGAAAGAGGAAGAGAGGATCTCAAACAGACTCTGCGCTGCCAAGTGCAGACCCCAGAGCAGGGCTCAAACCCACAAACTGTTGAGACCATGACCTGAGCTGAAACCAAGAGTTGGATGCTTAACCAATTGAGCCACCAGAAGCCCCTTAAACTTTTTGATACCTCAGCATTCTCCTGTCCTTGGCTTCTGTTTTTCACTCTCTCCAAACAACTTATCCACTCCCACATTTGTCCCTTTCATATATAAGTTAATCACTTCAAAATATGTATCTCCAGTCTTCACCTCTTTCTTTAGCTCTTGGCCTAAATATAAAAGTGTCTAGAGAACTCACCTACCTAAGGACTTTGCCTCCACACTTATTTCCCCCCACTCTCTGCATCACAAATCTTTTCTCCCTTAAAAACAAAAACAAAAAACTCCCATGACAGTATGTCTCTCCAGCTCCTACAATACCTCTCTGTTCTCTTTGTGTAATGAACCTTCTCACTTTCTATCTAGTGTATCTTGACCTTTATGATACATAAAATCTTTTATGAATGGTTTATCCCTATTATTCTTCTAAGACTTTTCTCATCAAGGTCACCAATAACCTTCATGTTGCCAAATCTAATTCTCAACTTACTTGACCCAACCCAACTTGACCGAAGCTTGGCCGGTTGATCATTTCCTTTTCCTTGAAAAGCTGCCTTTACCTGACTCCTACCCTCTACTAATTTTCTTACCTCACTAATCACTCCTTCTTAGTTTCTTTGTTGGATCATCTTTTTTCAACCTTTAAGTATTGGAGTATTCTAGTGTTCCATTCCATCCTTGGACTTCTACTCAATTTTTTGCTTGTATTCACCTTAGAAAATCTTAACCAGTTCTATCATATTAAATGGTATCCGTATGCTAATG